AAACTCGGCAATAGTGTAAGACTGCATATTGGGGCTATATTTGGTGTGTGGCAAACCACACCGAGACGTGAATCTCACTGATTTGTACTGAATTTATTCCTCAGCAAACCCACTGATGAGCCAGGATTGCAGCCACATACATCAGATTAGTCTGTATAAATGCTGATTGCTTACTTTTATGGGCCGGGAATCAGATGGGCGTGGATTTTAAGCCAAGTATCCAAGTGTTCCAGCACAAACAGCTGAGAGTTTCACTTTCTACCTTAACTACAGCCGTTTTAAGTTTCCTTTCCCTTTCTCTGCATGTGTCTCCTCCTTTTTTTCCTTGCCAATTCCCAGTGAAAATATTGCCATCTCTTTCCTCCCACATTCCTTTTCCCTTCTAAGCCCTTTACAAGATCAATGAGAATTAATATGCCACTGTGCTGTTTGCTTTTAAAAGCTCATTGATTTGGATCTGGCTCCCTGAAGAACCTTTTTCCAAGAGGTGATCGTACTTTTATTAGGCAAAACAAAAAGGCACTAAAATGGGTGTAAGCTTTTGAGATCTCTTTTCAGGCAAGAAAAACAAAACAGGCAAAAAGCCAGTTGGGAAGAGTCTGGGGATGGGGGCATTTAATCTAGTATTCATGTACTCTAGCAGTTGACTTTTCCTCTGGTGGTGGAAAATCTTGTATGATAAAGGGATCCAGGAAATTTCAAGGCTTGTACACATTCTTCTGCCTCTTTGGTTGGCCTAGTAGTAGACTTAACAAAGATTTTGTATGTTTTTTTCTCATCTTCACCATTGTTACCAATGATTTTTGTGGATTTTTATTTATTTATGGTACTTCTATGCCCTTCTGAGCAGTTTACATAAAAACAGCAAGCAAAATAAAACCAGACATAGCATAAAAAACACCAAAATCCACTGTAAGCACAGAATAGTGAGGAGAATTTAACAGTTCAGGTTGATGAAGGGTTATTTTATATTACCCCAAGCTTTATTCTCTGAGAGTTACTCCCCTATGAAAGATAAAATTGACCCGGCTTGGCTGCTACTGCCTTTCCTTAATTCAGTATCTAAAAATCCTCTAGCTTCACCAGTATCAAGACTGCCCAATTAATGTATTGCTTTCCACTGCAATGGGAGCCTGCAAACTTTGAAAAGGATGCAGATGGTTCTGCATTTTGTATCTTCATATTGGTTGTCTGATTTTTGCTTTCACTACTCCCAAGAAAGGATCTAATATGATCTGCTCCAGGTGAAACCTAACACCATTGCATCACTTGATTAGCTCATTTGAGAGCCAGAAGACCTTCCTCTTCATTGTCCTCATGAGACCATTTGCAGATTGCATGCCTTTAACACGAAGTCTTTACCCCTCCCCTTTCCCGCCTCCACCTGCTTATTAAAACATACAGTATTTCCTGCTGACAACCAGAGCATGCAAAATATCGCACACATTTTGGTGCCTTTCTTTGGTCCAAGAAAGACTCTGTCACAATACCAATTTTGGAATTTTTCTTATGGCCAACATGGCTATCTCTGTGTCCTTTTTCTAGCCCTGAAATCTTTGCTGGAGACTCTTCTCAAATGTCCCACCTTCACAACATTTCATGGATGGAACCTGGTGAAAATGACTTTCTTTGAACTGTGATGTCCTACATCTGCAAGGTTGTTCCTGGCTGCAAGACTAACCAGTTACCTACTCATGTCTTTTTATAGAGAGATTATTTCCCCATATCCTTGTAAACATCAACTAGCAGTAGAATCCTGTAAATATTTCCTCAAACCACCACTAAATTAAATGGAATTTAGTCCCTAGTCAATCTGTCTAGGATTATAGCTTGTTGTTATTTAACTTTCTCCCTGATCTTTCTGTATATCTCTGCACCCTATTCTGATTATACGTCAAATACATGGAAATCAGACAGGTGCAGAGGCAGGGTACACAGACACTATATTGATTTCCCCTCTTCACAAAAGTTCCATGCAACTGAAATCTTGTTTTAGCTAGTTGCATGTCACACATAGGTATGCTGTCATCAGGCCCACTACCAGGTTATTCTGGATTGATTTGCTGTACCTATGCCAATACTGTACGGGCTGAGATATCATGCTGGTGGGCCTGAAAAACAGGATTTGGGCCATTATGTTACTTTTTACATGCTATGTATTAGTAAATCAGTCCTCATAACTTTTTTTAAAGCCCCAAATCTTCCCAAATAACCTCCCAAATAAAGTTGCTGAGTTGTACCCAAAGTTATCTGTCTTGCGATTTAATGAAAGGAATGTCGTTATGCACTGGATTTAAGCCATACTTCTTTGATCTTTCACCTAGCAATTCCTGTGGAAATAACCTCTAATCATGCTTGGAATTAGTTGCTATAACCTTTCACTGCACAAAGGAATACAAGCAGTCACTGTGATCCAATAACTACATACATCTACTTGGCATAGATTTTTTTGGTCTCTTATTTAAAGACGCAATGCATCAAATCACTGAAAAGATTTACAGAAACTCAAGTCTTTTGAGAATTAACATGATCCTAGTTTAATACATATCATAACAATACAGGCTGGCAGAGAATATTTTATTAGAGGAAGGATAATTTGCATGTAATATACTACATATATACAGAGTCAAGGGAAACTTTGTAGAGGGATTTTCCTAAGATCCACTAAGAATTGTGCAATTTGTATCCTGCTTCAACACATCTGGGCATTTTCCTTGTACACTTGTACTCTTTATTATTAAGAGTTAAATATCAGGATATTTGAAAACCTACCACTGCAGAAGAGCCCAGCTAAGTGGGGATTTGCTGATCCAACTCAGCTCTTATTTCTCATGTGTAGGAATGATGCTATTTCAATACAGGGATAAAACAGCATAATTAGATGCTACTCTGAATAGCTAAGGCCTACACTATATGGTATATCAATACCTAGGAGGCAGCTTAGCCTCAGTTCCTTTCTTAGAAAGCACACAGGAGCCAAATACAAATTGAGACCACTGCACATGGATGGAGAAGCTGCAAACCTTTACTTGAGCAACCCTTCCCTTCTTAAATTCAAGCCCCTTGCGCTTGGGGCTAAAAATTGTGAGATTCCACTGGTGCCAAGGGAACTGTTTTGCCTCCTTTGATCCAAGAAATGGGACAAATGATGATGGGAGGGAGGAATTTACCTCTTTTTGCACCTTATAATCCACTAGGCCTACTTGACTTACTCTGGAGTAAGAACATTTAACCAGATTAGCCCAAGGCCACTCCAGTTGTGGAGAGAAACAATCATACCCAGTTACACAGATAAAAGTTCTACATGGCCATTAGAGCTTGATAGTTGGTATGTAGGCTGTAACTGTGGTGAGGGGTGAGGGGTGTGTGTGTGTGTGTGTGTGTGTGTGTGTGTGTGTGTGTGTGTGTGTGCGCGTGCGTGCGTGCGTGCGCGTGCGCATTGCATGGGCCTTATGTGCACCCCCATATGCCCCATGGGCCTTATGTGCACCCCCATGTGCCCAGCATGGTTAGACACCTACCTGCTTTCAGGGCACCTGAACCAACCTACAGAAGCTTATGTTGTTGAGGAGGAACAGGCTTTCCTTGCTTTGGGAAACAATATCTAAATTCTCTGAGCCCACCTTAAACACTGTAAGCATGATTAAGCATCAAATTACTTTTCACACGAATCAGCGCCCTGCAGCCATCTTGGCTCAGCAATAAGTTGTGATCAAGAAAATCATACTCCCTCCATCTGAAGGGGTCAGCAGCCTGCAAAAGACCCACTCCACAAATAAAACTTGTTCATCTTCTATCTTCCAAAAAAAGTTTTGTTTTTGCTATAATACATATATACACAGTCAATACTACATCAAGTGCTAATGCTGTTTTTCTGAAGCTTCTAGCATTCTGGCATTAACTGGTTTATTTTGCAATTGTGTTTATAAATACAACAATGTGGAATGTACAGTACTTACTATGCTATCGTTTATCTCCTTACTCAGAAGGAAATGCTACTGATCACTTAGTACACACACACACACACACACCCCGTGGTGTAGTAGAGGCAGGGCTCACAGGACGAAATACTTTCTGAGGAGCAGCGATTTGAACACCATCCACCACCTGCTCAGGCTTCTCTCTTCCCTTTAAGTCTAACTTTACAGTAGCTGACAAACTGATTTTCTTAGCATTACATCGTTCCAAGGTATTATTCCCAGTGCAATGCAAAGTATTTGAGGAGTGGCTCGACTGTGAATGGGCAATCAAAAGCCATTAACTGTACAAAAGACCTGCTTCTCGTTTGTTCATACGGTCCAATCCATCCGCCAGCATTTTCTGACTCTTATTGGGTTGGTGTGGCTACGGGAACTGTCCTTATGAGTTCCTGCACTTCCAATACTGAGCACCACGCCACTATGGTCCCCAACCAAATAGGCACGGAACTATACCCTTCGATTTGTACACGTTTGAACGGTGGTCTGCATGTCCCTTTGTCCCCCGGCTAAAGCGATGCATGTCTTCACCCCCGTCCGCACGCTCTCTAAGACCCAGCGGGAAGCTCCCCAACGGAGCCGAGAGGTTGCCAGAGGCTCTCCGAACACTGAGGTGACGCGACTCAGCAAACTGCCCGTTGATTGGCTGCCACCAAACGTTCTGCTTCTGTCCCGCCCTCTCCTGTTTTTCTCTGTCTCTTCTCCCTTTTCCCCCTCCCTTCTTCACCCACTTCGGCTCGCGCCGGTCAAAGCGGCAAGGGGGCGGGGCTGGAGGAGAAAGAGGAAAAGAGCATTCGTGACCTGCGCGTTCGAATCTGGCACCATCCCCCCTCCCCCTCTTCCGTTCGTTATTTATTTACTATTTATAGTAAATAAATAAACTTATTTTTATAAACTTAATTGCTGTGGGTTTTTTCTGGATTTTTTTCTGGTGTTTTTTTTTTTTAACTTTTCTGCCTCCCCCCTCCCTTACTATATTTTGACATGAAGGTTAAATATATGACATCAAGGTAATTATAACTAATGAGGCTGGACCTATCCTTTAAAACAGGTAAGTAGTGCAAGGCCACCAGGAATCCCCTTAAATTCCTCTGCTGGTCTCACATTCTAAATCCTCATTGTTCAGAACTAAAACCTTGCATTTGACAGGATTTCTACCTAATGCTTTAGGACAGTATGTTAACATCTACCCTAGTACTCTCTTGCCTCCACAGAGTAAGCTAGCCAAGAAAGTAGGAAAGATCAAGTCCATTTTACTAAGTGGGGAGGGGTTGCTGACATACAAAGCAGACGTGTGCATCAATTTTTGAACAAATGAACAATTGGATCAAAGAGGAGATATTTAGTTCATTTTTTAATTCAGTTTGTTAAGTAATTAATGGATGAATTCATTAATTCATTGACTAGTGAGTAGTTCTAAGGCCCGCCACCACCATCTCCCGTGCTGCGCTGCCTCTGCGGCTGCTCGGCCGGAGGCGCCCGCGAAGCCGTCTACGAGTGGTTCGGCCTGACGCTGGGCTCGGCTCAGCGGCTGGAGTTCGCCGTGGGGTTGCTGGACCTCCTGAACCCTCTGGAGCTGCGCTTCCTGGGCTCCTGCCTGGAGGAGCTGGCCCGCAAGGACTACCACTGCCTGCGGGA